TGCCTTAAGGGTGCTGAGGACCGGCAGCTTCCCTGAGCTGTACCCAGTGGCAGTAGCTCATTGCAACCATTTTCTGGAGCCTTCACCACCACCTTTTGAGAGACAAGCTGATTTTAGCATCCACAACTTAGACTAAAATGGCCAAACAATATAGGTGCTTTATGGCAAGAACCAAAATTAAAGCATAATTTAAACGACTGCAGCAGCTTCATAAGCCAGGACAGGATTACATCAACTTTTGGCTGAGTGCTCACTGTAATAATCTTTGATTATTAGATTATATCCAATATAAATAGATATTTATATTATTATATAATATGTAATATAAATGTCTACCTATAATGGATATATATAATAATCTATTACTATTATAAGATCAGCTGAGAAAGCTGTCCATCACCCAAGCTAATTCTGAGCAATCCTGGGAGTAGTTCATTTATTTACTTGTAATAGCTGAGGCTTTCTGGGTGGTTAACAAAAGTTAAATTTAACAAAAGTTTAAAAGATACACACACACAATTTAAGAGAACCAAACCATAATTGCAATTGCTATTTTTCAGCACAGAAGCATAACAGCAGTACAGAAAAAATGGGATATATAAAAACAAAGCTAAAAAGCTAGATTTTTAAAATGCTGGGAAAATGAAAAAGTCTTAACCTGGGACCAAAAAGCATACAAAATAGTGGCCAGGCACACCTCTTTAGGGTGCTCATCCATCACCATTCGTCACAGAGGCCCCACTCGTGTGAATACTAAGCAAAGCAACAGACAGAACAGAAGGCTATGTGGTAGGAATTCTGCAGGCCTTTTTCAAACTTCAGTTAGGAAAATTAGGATTTGCAATGGCATCCAGAAGCAGTGCACAGAGTATAAGACTTTCCCTTCACACACCCCAAAATTCATAGATTTGGCAAAGAACGATTTCCAGTTCAATCCAGAAACATGTATCTATGCCTAGAGAATGTGCATGTGTTACATTATACCCATATGCACACACAATTGGGACATGGACTGCAACAGCAGCACGCACACTAATATGCAAGTACATGCTTAAAGTTGCTGGAGAATGGCTGTGCTCCAATATCTGCTCCGGGTTTCTTTTCCTGTTCAGTTTTTCCATTTGTTGTAATCCCAGCCCAAGAACCATCCTGTGAACGTTGGGGGTTCATAACCCTGTTGTACAATAACAAGCGGGATGCCTTTGTCTCGTCCAGATGGATCAGTCTCAATGTAGCGTTTGGCTGAAACACACGAATATGTGAGATATTAATAGATTATCTTGGAGAAAAACCTGTACTCTCCCATTCATAGCTCAACAGAAAATCACGGTTCCAGAGCTGAGCTGCCTTTTCTATTCTCATCAACAGAGCCTGCTCCATTTCCACCTCTTTCCATAACTGTGGGTAAAGAGGTATGGGATATTTTCTGCAGTGAAATGAAAGGACAAACCCTACCTGGCAAGGTATAGCCATATACTTTTCTCTCCCCTCCCTTTTCCACTCTGGCTCCAGTATGTCACAGAATCCAAAGGTCAGTACAAATAGTGAAACCGGTATCAGGTAGCGAAGGGCACTGAATTGTCCTGTTAGTCTGATTCATTATTCCATTTTTCACACTGTGATCCTCACTGCCATCTCAAGACATGCATACATTTAGCTATCCCACATGAATGGAGGCAGTTACTATGAGCTTTCCTAGATGAGGCATTTCTATGATGCATTTATTGTTCCCTACTTATGGAAGTGTATAGGTTCTTTAGACAACATCATGACCCTCCAGTTTTGCTTCTGTGTCTCCCATGCACTTTTAGGGAGTGTTTTTATAGCAGGGAAAATGCAGTATTCCATTTTAAAAGCAAATAAATATGCTTTTTTCTCTTGTGTATTTGCACTATTCACCTAAACCACAGTGCCAACTAGAGGTTATATAGCAGAAAAGCAAGAAAGGAAATTCGGGATCTCAATTTTGTTACAAACCCAAAAGAAGATACAGGAGAGGAAAGCCTCATGTAGAAAAGCCCGGTATCACAAAGATACTCCCAGAACATGTCCAAAGACTGCAGGGCCAATTACTACCTCCTCTGACAAATGGGCTAGTTTGGGGCAGCCTTTTAGACAACAACTTTAATTCATTTGACAATCCATTTCTTTTACAAATCACAAGATGGATTAGCTACTTGGTTCCTTACCAGATTTCACTGATTCAGTGCGTTCTAGTTCATTTGCATCTTTGCCAATCCACACAAATACCTAGATGTGAAAGGACACAGTCTGTTGCATAAATTAGAAACAACCCCACAGATTGAGCCCTAGAAAATACAGGTGGCTTGCTGGCAAAAACAGTGGCAGTCTCTGCCCACCTCATGGCATCCCATGAAGGATGTACTTCTTCTCATGCATAGCTATACCATGGAATTTACTTCCACAAAATGAAGCTGGGGCCACCAATTTGGATGGCTTTCAAAGGGGACTGGGCAAATTCACGGAGGCAAAGTGGCTACTAGTCCTGATGCCTATATACTACTTCCAGTATCAGAGGCAGTAAGCCTATATACAACAGCTGCTGGGGAACATGGGCAAGAAGATGGTATTACACTCACGTCACATGCTTATAGCAGCTGGCTGGCCATGGTGTGACCTGAATGATAAACTAGATGGATTTTATCCTGCATGGGTCTTATGTTGTTATGGGGTAATGTTTAATGAATATTGAAAGTTCAGCCCCATGGGTTTCCTTCCCACCTCTGTGGGCTCCCTGGCCTTAATACCGTCTCTTCTATGTCCATCTATACTAGTGATACCACCAAAGAACTGCTCCGGTGGATGGGCTTCTCCCCACACCTTTTCTGACGACCAACTTATTCCTATATCCCTCTCTCCTCCAAGTGTTTGCTCCTCTTCGGACTCTGCGTATCAGGGCAAGAGGCTGTTTGATTAGTTTTAAAGGGAGAAGGGAAACATGGAGCATCATTACACCATGAACACATGACAGCTATTCTTCATCAGCTGCACAGACTCCCCCCTGGTTTTCATGCTGAGTGCAGAGCTCTGATTCTGAGGTTTCTCACAGTTTGGGGCCAAGAGACCACATGCAACTGCCTGCACACTTAAAATCTTGAGCTGAGGTTCTTTTTCAGGTGCCGCTATCATCTGAGGTACAAGTGACAGAGTGTGCCAGAAGGAAAAGGGCCTAGTTAGTGATGGCTGCCCAACTATGGAATGTTCTTGCCAGGCGAGGTCACCTGGGGCTTCTCTATATATCAAATACCAGCACTGATCTCTGACAACACACACAAGAAGCCCGGACTATAGGGTTGGCCACAGACATATTGCAGCCTCAAGCAAAGGACAAGATGGCATCCCTCCCTGTTCCATGTGCAGAAGCCCACTGCACTGGCAATAGAATTCTCCTTTGATACTGGGGACAAAAGTTGTCCTCCATCACATTTGAGGTAGCAAGCTAACTTAGCGGGCTCAGAGCAGGCTGCTGGCCCCCACCCCAAGCCTGTGGCCTGAGCAGGCTGCCTCACCCTGTCTAATGGTAGGGCTGGCCCTCTCTGTCCAGTTTCTCCCCTCTCCTTTCCAACTGGACTGGAGGCGTCAATGCCATCAGCATAAGACAATGCAGGATGGCATCTTATGTACTTTTATGACAAATGATCCATTCAAATGTAACCATTTCATGCAATTTTCCCAAGTGAATTGCACAACTGCCACACTAAAGAAACCAAATGTTATTTTGCAACAGGCCTCCTAAAACTCCAAGCACCTGGGATACTCCTATGACAAAAATAAAATGAAATCCAATAATATATCAAATACATCCATTGAAACATAGTTTCAACATCTTTTCCAACTGTTTTACAGAGTTCTTTCCCCTCATAGTTCCTCCTTGACCTCATTTCTATGGAGTTTTGTTCCTTTACATTGAATTCTAACATTTCCTTCTTCGTCCTTTTAAACTGTTTATTCCACAACATCAGTTTAATTAGTCTGAGGTTATGCAGTTAGCAAAATGTCCCTAGAATGGGCTCTACCATTTTAGATTAAAAGTGGGGGATACTACTTTTGAATCTTTCCAGAGGTTCCACAACACACCCCACACAATAGAAAGTATTACAGGAAACAAATTCCTAGCCCAGCCCTTTGCCTGCTGTGCTGATTTTCTATCTTCATGGAGCTTTAAGAATAGGCAGGATTTGTAAATGTGGTTCTCTCACTTTTAGTCTGAAGTGGTACAGTCTGCCCACCACATGTACATGTTACATGCTCTTACATATCTATTGACCCACAGAATGTTATTAATAAAAATAAGAATGTCCTACCTGATCCCAAGTATCAAACAACATGACATCATCTTCAGCCAAATCTTCCTGAGTGAATTCTCCAGGAACTTCCTCAATCTAAAATATATTTATATATTTAAAAAATGTACTGTTCTGTTCTGAACAATTTTAACACCAAAGTACAGAGGTTTTGAGTGTTAGATTTCATTAGAACTGGCAGAAATCAAATAATTATTGGTGAAACTCACATTAAAATCACAGATAAAAATACAGGTTAGATTGCAGAAGGATGAATAAAAGTGACGGTTGCCCTGAAAACAGCTGGAAATGAAGCCATTGTTGGGATACACCAACCCATGGTTCAGGTCAAGGGAAACCATGAGCAGATCAAAGAACAAGGCCATAAACAAAGAACAATTGGGAGTTATTGGATTCAAAGCAGTAAGCACTGGTCAGGAAAGAGCTCTGCTAGAATTCTGCCCAGATACAGCAATGACTGTAATTTCCATGATGCTTATTTCCACAAACCAAGGAATGTGGAGTTCATTTTCCCTGGCCAGTTGGAAACTAGGCTCAGCCACTGTCAGAGATGCTCCAGGCAGGATTATACCTATGGATCCACTGTGGTCCCTGTGATTCAGCCACTAGGAAATGTTTGGATCTGAGGCTTCTGGTGATTTTTAAATAAGCAATATACATATTGTACATTCAGTGCACAATAAGTTTAGAAAGTATTTAAATAAAAATAAAATCTGTTAAATTAACTAGACACCTGGTCAAATTATCCCCCCCCCCCAATTTGTGATCTTGAGAAATTGTCTTGGTGCAGAACATTGTGTTTTTGTGAATGAGGACAGATGTGTGTGGGAATTTGCACTGCACCTGTTAGTTCACTAATGAGTAAGCTGCTATCATTTGATTAGCTATAAAGCTTCAGAGAGAAGAAAATGCTAAGAAGTTCAGATTATTAACACAGCATGCTTGCTGGAACAATAGAGCTGCTGCAAAGTGACATATTTATATGGAATTTTTCAATTTTGTCAATGAAAATTAACCTTTAAGACCTCTTACGTAATTTTAAAGACACGGCAGAAATTATGGATTTTGAAGATCAAGCTGGAAATACTGATCCGTTAACATGTCCTGCCTTTGTTTTCAGAGAAAACACATGTGATGTAGTGGTCAGCGTTTTGGACTAGGATTCAAGAGATCCAGTTTCTAGTCCCTACTTAGCTATGAATCTCACTGAGTGACTTTGGGCCACTCACTAACCCTCAGGGTTGTGACCATAAAACTCAGAGGAGCATTCTGGAAGCCACACCGAGTTCCTTGCAAGAAATATAGAACATAGAAACAGGGTGAGTCAGAAGGGGCCTCCTGAGCCATCTAGTCTGATCCCTGGCTCCAGCTGGCTCTGAAAAAGGCTCCTATAAATATACTAAATAAATAAAAAGGTACCACAAGTTACTAAGCAAGATGGCAGGTGAAGCACAAAAAGGACTTTGGTTCTGATCACTGAGGCCCCCCTTTGTGTGGTCCAGAGATTTTAAAAATCATCTAGAGTTGACTCCAGTAAAAGATATGGGGCTAATTCAAGAATTCAGAGTGTACAACTGGGTTGACAAAACGACCCCTGTTCCATAGCAGGCCCTCCACTCCCTTGAATGTGGAAAGTTGCAGTGTAGGGGGACTGAGAGGAAACAAATTGGATCTCCAGAAATTGGGTGGAGGGACCTGCCCTTAGCCAAACTTATTCTGGGTATGATGATTCAGAATTCTTACTAAATACCACTGTCTTCAGTCCCATGACATTTCAGCACAGACATTTCTAACAATGAAATGTACTCAAGGCAAACAAAATTGCTTGCAAGGTTACATTCAGAACTGGACTTCTCTAAATGCAGCCAAAGCCACGCCATCTTGACAAAGGGTCTGATCACTCTATACTAAATGTACACTGTACAGTAGACTCAGTGGATGGAGAGAAAAGTGACTGACCAGAGGAAAATAAAAAGAAAAGATGACAGGACAGCCATGGCTGGCTGTATCCCTTAAAATGGGTGCTCGGCTTGTAGCCCTCCAAATGTTTTGGCCTACAGCTCCCTTGAGCTCTACCCAGTGCAGCCAGAAACAAGTGCAGACAAGAACATCAAGAGGGTCCCAGGTTGCCCATCCTGCTTTATAGTATCATCCACCACAAGACAGCATCTGTCTGATTCTCGGTGCTATAAGAAGTTGCTCTCTTGTGCCTTTATGCCCCACAAAAGATATTCTTCTTTGCCCTGCAAGGGAGGTGAAGAGTCCCATTCATATGCCAGAGATGGAATGAATGAACACAGCAAACAATGGACAGAGCAAGACAGATTCATCTTATACTTACTATAAACCTGCCAGTCTTATTAGAACATCCATAAAGGCGGGGAGGATGGTCTTCTGAGTCAGTCTGTAATTGTGCAGATGTCTGGTATTTTTTCTTTCCACCCAGAGCACTCCAAAATTCCTCTAGGAAATACAACACAACATTTCCCTGGTAATGTGACCTACAAGCATATTCTGGGGAAACAGTCACCTCCATTCTGTTCTTATCCATCTTTTCCTCAATTCACTTTCTTCTCTCCCGTACCCCTACATTTCCATATGTAAGCACTCTTGCTTCTGCCTGGACAGAAAAAGGCGGACAAATGCACACATTCCCACCATCAATTTTGATCTACTCTCTCCAAATACCAGGTAGCTCCTTACTTCTTTATAAGGCCTGCAGAGATTTAGTTATACTCACCTGGTTCCTGGCCTTCGTCAATCCTCACAGTTTGACATTTCAGGATATTTGCTGTATACTGAGCTCCTTTTTCTTCTTCTCTGCTCGCTCCTCTACCAACCCAAGTATATCCAGAGTTATTTGGCAGTTTCAAAACAAAAACATCATTGGAATTCAACGAAGCAGCATCAACGTCAACCTGAGACAAGAAGAAGAAGGCTTCAGCCTGCTTTTAATTTTCTGTTGCTGATTTTTGCACAGTATGCAAAATTAATTTAACCTCAGAACAACTCTACATGCTAGCTCTTAGAAATGGAAGATCTATCACAGAGGGTAAATTGTCAATTATATTGTTAAAAATAAAATAGAAATGAAGAATTTACTGTATTTCTTTAAAGATTTTAAAAAAATTCTTTAGCAGGACCTCCAAGGTAGTAAGGAGACAGGCATGTGAGTTTCACTATAATGTAGCTTCAGTGTGGCAAAGAAATCCCATCCAAACAACCCATGCATGGAACCTGAAATCAATATATAAAAAGACAGTGATCTTTTGATGACTGCTCTGTGGGACAATGGTCTCCTTGCCAGCAGAAGACAGACCCTGATCCTCTCAGTGCAGCTAGCTGAAATTTTCGTTCACTGCTCCGTGCACAGAGCTTTTATTTATAAAGCCATCGTTCACATGTCTGCGAAAAGGAAGGTTGGCAGACAGGTGGACTAGGTCAGGGCGCACCAAGCTTAACCTCCTGTTACTGAAAGGGGTGGGGAGCAATTTGGCAAATGTACGCTGCCAAACGAGTCTGCAAGTGTACAAGTCCACGTATTGTCACTGCTTCCTGCAAATGCCCCTAATTGGCTCCTGGATCTTTGAAGGGAGAAAGAAACACACCTGTGCAGGACTGGCATGTATGCCTCTCATTATCATGCTGACGGAACAGGGGCTGTCACTGAACCTCTCCCCTTAGTATTGGGAACTGGTTACTCAAAGTGACATGCTGCTCAGTTTGGAGTAACAATGTTTAAATAGCTAGTTTCTGCTCAGGGTGTGCGTGCGTGCATGTGCGTGCGCACACACACACACACTTGATACATCATGGCAGTAGCAGCTGTGTGCTTAATGAAGATCTACCCAAACGATACAGAAGGTGGTTGACTGAGTTTAGCAGCAAAGGTGGTTTGGAGCCAAAGAGGGCAGAACCCTCCCACACACACACTGGGGTCGGCAACTTGCGGCTCTCCAGATGTTTTGGCCTTCACGTCTCATCAGCTGTAGGCAGCATAGCCAATGAAGGATGTCTCGAGCTGAAGGCCGAAGTATCTGAGGGCTACAAGTTGCCAATCTATGGTTCACGCAGTCAGTCACCATAATGTGTCCCCCCAGCTACTTTTCTCCTGGAGACAAACTGCAGTGGAGCAGTCCATGTCAAGTGACCAGAAGACAAACCGGGAGAAACCTGGCCCTCTGATGAAAGGTGTGCATCTCTGAAAGAGGAGGGGAGCTTCACTATTTAGCCCCTGAGAATGGTGGCAGCTCAAGAGAGGCCAAAAGCATCCCTGCAAGATGAAAGGCCTGGTTGCAGAGGACTTGCAAAGAGGACTCCTTCCAGGATCCCCTGATATTCTACAGTTAACTCTTGGGTAAGCTCTGGAAGCTGCAGCAGATAAGCCTCAGCCTGCAAGAGCTTCTGGAACATGGTCTTCTTTGCCTTCCTGCTGTAAACAGAAGCAGGACAGTCTTGTGAATTTACAGCTGGACTTTTCCTTGCTGGATATGGTACTTGTTGTTTGAACCTTGCTGTCCTGGATCTTTGATAGTTCTACATCCTTGCTGCAGAACATCATGCAGCCTTGAAACACAGCCCTCAGTGCAATGAGGACAGCTTCCCGCATTACAGGTTTATCGAAGCAAAGAAGAAACACAGGTATCTATCATGAACATGAACTGGTTACCTCTACAATCCTGGTGATGGTTGCTAGGTTTCTGCGGATTTGGAACAAGCGCCTTGGAGGAGCTGGCACTTGACCTCCTTTCTTGGATGTCCCATCCTTGTAAATGATGAGCGGCTTATCTTTGAACAAACTCAGCAAGTGTGGAGGTTCCTTGCCTTGGCTGACTCTGATCTGTGAAATGTTTGAATAGAACAGCGCAAGACAGGGTGAGGGAGAAAGAAAGTTGCAAATCATGTGAATTGTTGCCTATTGCCCTAGCCTGACCTAGACAACAGATGCTTCATGGGGTAAGGAACTTGGCAAGAATTAAGAGCAGCAAGCTTCCGTGAATAATTTAGGCTTACGTGACTGCAGAAGGAATCCAGCCGTGACATTACGCAGGCTCTCACACTAGAAGAAATGTGACATGCCCACTGCAATCTTAATATTCTCTTAACATTACCGTCCATATGTGTACAAGTGAGTTTGGTTCAGGGAGATTTGCATTTAAATGTAGCAGAACGTGCAACGTATCATATCTGCTTTCATTCCCTTTATATATCTGCCTTAAGTTGGGAGAAAGCAAAGAACATAAAGCCACCTGGGAATGGAAAATTACAAACTACACTGATTATAAGAAAATTGCTGTTTAGGACTAAGTAAGAAGAACTCTTGAAAAAGCAAATCTTTCTTAAAGAAAAACTGTTCCATTGATCTGTGCAGTTTACTGCTCAAGAATGAGGAAGCCATATCACCTGCTGTGGCTAAAAAAAACAAAACAACCCTTTAAAAGAGCCCTACACTGAGGACAGAAAGAAAAATATCCATCGACCATCATAGCCAAAACATAAATCTTGATGCTTCAGATAGTTCTCTGCTACAGGATATTCTTTCAGCCCAAGGACCAAATTCAGTTTCAAGGAAGCTCTTGGGAAGGGGCAAATCTCAATGGTGGGTGAAGACAAAGTGGGGTGAAGTGGAAAGCAAAGGGGGAGAATCCAGGACACTAGCCTGTTTTAGCATGAAACTCCTACTGGCAGCCATGAAGCCCTATGTGAGGTGCGTCAGCCTTTTAGGATGGAGGGAAATCCTTCACAAAAGCTGGGAAGCCACCAAAGGACAGGCTGGTGGGGGAAGGCAGGAAGGGCTGGAGAAGGGGAGAGGGCAATTTGGCCCCCAGAAAGGCAGAATCTGGCCCACAGGCTTGAGGTGCTTCACCCTGCATTACTGCAAGGGAATTACAAGGCTGTCTTACTGTCTCTTCTGAAACACCGAAACTGCTATGTATCTGAGATGCGGTGTTTATTATTAGTAGAGCACCAGCAGTGTGCATGGAGTAAGCCCTACCTCAAGGAGCTTGTGGTCTAAAAGAGGCAGAGGAAACAACAGAGGGAGGAAAGGGGGGCAGGAATGCACAGGGACAGCTGCGATCCCTTAGATGTATAGTTTCAGGCTTAGTCACAGTGAAGCAGCCTTCCCAATCTGGTTCCCCTCTGAATGTCTTAGATTACAATACCCATTATTTCCAGGCAGCATAGCCAATGATGAGATGATAGGAACCATAGTCCAAAAGATATGGAGGGCAAGAGGGCACTAAGTTGGGGGCTACACTAAAGATGCCACAGAAAATATGAGTTTTGAGGAGAAATATCAAGGGGGTTCACGTCATAGAGGTGCTCCAAATGGCAGTTCAGGCACATGGGATGAGGTCCTGGAAGGAATCATGAGAGCTTCAGGTAGCAGATGGGGGGCAGGTGAAGCTGGAGGAGTGGAAGTCATGGCAGGGTCACTGAGGAAGATCGTAACAGGGAGATAAGGAAAGAGAAGGCAGTGGGAAGTTTTGAAGGGCAGAATGAAAAGCATGAAGGCCATTACTGAGAACCGGCATGGGTTTGCCAATGTTGAGTTCAACATATAGAGCAGCCTTTCTCAAGTGGGTTTCCCCGCAAAGGGCTGCTAGGAGTTCCATGAGAGATTGTGAGTACACACATAGTGTGTTTATATGATAAAGAAACATGAGTTAGTTTATTGTTTTGATAATCTTAATAGTATAATAATTAATGCTTAAATTAATTAGAAACAAGTGTGCCAAAGTCAAAGGCTGGGGAAAGCAGATATGGCGTCTTCCCCTCCCCACCACCAGGAAGGGCTGACGACAGTTCCCTCCATCTTCCCCTGACACTGCTACAGGAGACCCTAAGTGATGTTGCTCTCCATCTAGGCTGGTAAGTGTGAGCTGGGAAGGAGGCAACCAACAAAACCAACCACACAGCCCAGGAACTGCATGCGCAAAGGGGGTGGCAATGATCTGCAGGTACATCCAGTTTTTCCAGAGATGCTCATGGAAGCATGGCACAGGTGTATTCGCAAAGGCCTCCTACGTTAACACGACATTTCAAGAGCCGTGGGTTGTCATGTAGGCTGCAGCGCCATCTAGTGGTTTGAACATCCAGAGGCACTTTGAAAATTGATCAATTCACCTGCATCCAGAACTTTCATATCATGTCAATTCCAAAACAACAATAACAACCACCACCAGCAGCAGTTCAAACCTCCTTTAGGTGTAACAGAGTGATAACTCTTGCCTTTCATCAAAGGACAGGCAGTTTTAAAGAAAAAGAGGCAAAGCTATGAGAAAAGAGACTAGAAGGGCAAAAGCATGAATTATGATCCTTGGTGAAATATATTGAAAAAGTAAAGCAGTAAAAACACAGAGAGCATCAGATGAAAATTGAAGGAAACAAAGTATCAGGAAACTATCAGAATCAAACTATCACTTTCTTTCTCTCTCAAACTTATTTCTTGGGTTACAATCTTTGCCCAACAACTTCCTTTTACCACTCGGCAGTATATAGCTTTGGTTGGTGCAATTAATCAAACCAATAACAGTAAGATGAGAACATGAGACTGTGATCCTAGTTGTGTGCAGGCATTTACTTGCAACACAAATAGACCAAAACTAGGGGAGGGGTGGGCCTGCATGGGCTTCCTGCTTCCTGACCCTCCCTGTGTACCAGGCTGCTTCATGCATCTTTCTGTGTTTAGCTGACAATCTGAAAAGGATTCTGTAAGTGTATTCAGCCAGATACATTTACCAAACTCCTATGATCAGAAACCCTAATAAGGCAGGGTTCCCAACCACTGAGGCCTGGTAAGCATGTTCAGCCGAACCACATACAGAACATTTGTCAGATGGTCTTTGCTAAAGATGCAAAGTTCTGTAAAGCATAGCAGGGAGCAGTGTTCACATGTGTGCCCACATCTCCTCTCCGGTTTTGGTCTACCTGTGATCGCAAGTGAACACATGCATCACACTTCTGTATCTTAAAAATCCAGTCTATCTATCTATCTATCTATCTATCTATCTATCTATCTGGATATTTTTATCCCATCCGATATAGTTCATCTCTAGATGGCTTACAACATGATAATAAATGCATCAATCAGTATCAAGATAAAAAGTGACTGAGGATATCAATAAAAACATAATTAAAATATTTAAACTTTAAAATATTGGGTAAATAAAATAAAATTTTCTGCCCTCTTCTGCAAAACCACTGCACTCCCAATGTTCTCCAAACTGTTGTTGTTGTTGTTGTTGATGATATACTGTTGATATTTGAACATTTCCCTTCCCTCTTATTGCTCCCCTCTTTCCTCCATTAAACTGCATACATTCTTGGGGTAATGGGAGGGTATTTTGCCTTAAGCTGAATGCCATGTACATTTACAGCACAGGGCAAATTAATAACAAATAAATATTTATGGAGTAAAAAGCATGGATTCCAGATAACTCAGATGGCACTACAGCAAAATATCTGGGCAATCCAGCAAAAAAACAAACAAACAAAAAAACTTGTGTATTTTGACTCCCAGACCAAAAAGTGTTGCCTTTAAAGTGTCAGTGTGAGGATTCTGTATGCACCATCCACATTTTCATACTCAGCCGGAAGGCACCAACCTGGACGGCACGCCCTTTGAGTGACCGATCAAGTTGGACAGTCAAAAATGCTGAAGTAGTCAGCTCATCTCTAGTTGCATGAGCTCCTTGCCTGTGGGTGGAGAAGGACAAATAAAGCTGAGATCTCACTTGAAATGTTTCTTCGACAGAGTTCCACAAAGTGGAGATCCTGCCTGTATAGATCAAGGCACATGAAACTGGAGGAAGGAGCTGGCTGTGGGGGAACTGCAGTTGCTTGGGTTTCTTTCGGAATTTTAACTCACCAAATTTTATGATTGGTAGTCTATCCTCTGTGTGTGTGTGTGTGTGTGTGTGTATGATCCACCCAATCCTGTCTCAAAGGCTCAGCAAGGCCATCTGCAAATATTTTTGGTAAAAGTATTTATTTATTTATTTAGTGTATTTTAGGCACCCCTCTGCTCAAAATGCAATGGAGGCGATGCATGATTAAAGGAAATAAAAGGCTAATATAGAAAGCTACAAAGGAAGCCCAGCAATCAATATAATAAAATCGGGGTTTGCTAAACATCTGAGAATTCAGCTAGGTGGATCAATTTGGTAGTTCCCAGCTGGCTAAAGGACAATAGGGAAGGAGCTAGCCTAGCCTCCTTGGCAAGGAAGGTCCAGAATTGGGTTGCCCTGTCTCCCATGCTCACTAAACTTAGCCCCTTAAGAGAAGGGACACACAACAGCATCTCAGATGATGTTCACAGTTTATGGGTATGTTCATATGGGAGGAGGCAGTCTCTCTGGCCCTAAGCCATTTACAGAGCAATCTGGGGGAGTGTCATAAGATATGCCAAACTCCCTCCCCCAGCCAAGGCTGTAGACACAGCAATGTCCTCAGCCGCACAAGGGGAATTTGCCTCCTTCCATGTCTCAGCCCCTCCCAGCCATGACAGAAATCTCCACTGTAGCTTCAAGTGAGGTTGGTGATCCGACATTGAGAAACAATGCAAGTGAGGAAGAAGGGATTGTGCATGTGAGAGGGGAGGCACCGGGGGTCTGCAGGATCCACCAGCCTCCTGGCTCCTGTCCCTGTCCAAGCAGTACAGCTCCGCCTGAATGGAGATGCAAATGTCATCTCCATCCCTCCCGTCACTCTATGGGATGCTCAGCAGAGCAGAGGACACTCCTGGCCTCTGGTTTCAGAGGCTTCTGTCTCTGGGGCTTTTAACAGCTAGAGTTGCTCTCTTGATTGAAGAATGGGGTCAGGGCAGGCAGTAATATATAGGACAAAGGGGACCTGAGCAGATCCTGGATTTTGTAACCAGAGCACCTTGCAGCATATGCAGTGTTTCTCATGTCACCCCTCTTCGGAGCTTCGCTGAAGAAGGTGCACAGCCCTTCAGGTCTCCCCTGATAGCCCATTCAGGTTCTATCTCCCAGTTGGAGGCAGAGAAAAGAAATCTCCAAGGAGGCCTAAGCTGGGCCTTCCAAAGCGAATTGTGGTTAGGTTTGGGCATCCTTGTTGCAGATGTAGAGACTGAAGGCACCGAACAGCACACAGTTGGCCTCTGAAAGCTTGCCACAAATGTCATGTTTCCAGGGGGGGCCACTCACATCACATCAAAGATACAACAGTGAGCTGAGAAGTAGCACAACTTTAGCTATACCATGTGTAGATGATCTGTCCTTTGGGATAAGTGTACAAGATGATGTAGCAGTCGCCACCATAAAACTGCCCATAGCTCTCAGGTGCTACAGGGATCCTGCCATTGCTTTCCACTCGCCAGATCTAAGAAATGGAAGACACCATTGGAAAAATGTAAGCATTGGTGGATTCTCAAACAGAGCCTTTGATAAGGTGACCAATTTCATCAGGTTAACTGGGTTAATCTGTTGCAGCAAAACCAACCAAGTCTTGCTCCTCAGTAGGGATGAATTTTGCATAGATATATACAGGACTGCACTGATATTGTGGCATAAACTTCCATGAAGTAGAGCCCACTTTACAATTTGCATAAAATGTTATCCTCTTCATATATACTCATGACTACAGGCTAGAACTTTTGGAAGCAGTGAATTCAAGCTGCCACGAAATGCATTTCATGAATGTCTGCCATCACTGTTTACAATAAATCTATTTTAGCCTGGAAAGAGTCTTTATTCTTTTTGATAAGGTGATATTTTTAATTGGACCAGATCTGAAAGCAAGAACATCCATGGTTTTGAGTTCCCCAGAGCTTTTCCTCAGTAGAGGGAAATCTTGAATCCTTCTAGATTCTCCCCAAGAAAATTGTGCTTGGCATCTCCCAGATTCTGGTAGATATACGGGATCTCAGTGCCATACTCAATAATAAAAAGTAAGATTATTTTCTTTCAGGAAAAAAAATCTCTTCTCCTCCCTTATTACCTTATTGGCTTTGGATTATTCTAGTTCAGTGACAATGACACAAAACCTCTGAGTGACCATCTTACATATTCATTCAAAGGAAAGGCAATCTCTGGATTAATATTGAGATGTCAAAATGCAGCAAATTGTTCATGCACGTTCATTCATTCATTCTGTTTAATTATGTCGCAGAAGACTGATGAGACAAAAAATGATGAAGAATCCTATAGCACCTTAAAGTCTCCGTTGTAGTCTGGGCTTTCAGAAGCCCCCTTTATCTTATAAATATCACATCCTCCCCTCTGTGAAGGCAGAAACTAGCCAAATCTTGCTAGACAGAAGGATGATATTCCAGGTACTTCATCTGCATGTGTTGGTACCCCACACCTTATGCAAGACTAGAGGAAGAAGTCATAACAGAATCTTTTCAACCCTTTGAAAAGTTCACCCCAGTTCACAGGGACCAGATTCAAGGTATTTCTGGAAATCAGAGGCAGCTCAGGGACAAGCTGCATGTTATGGTTAATGAATAGTATGCAGTACTCGCTTTGTTTTTTAATGATTAACCAGCAAGCAGTATGTGTATTGGTGGGGGGGAGGGCAGGTAATTATCAGAACTGCAGCATGCAGGGAGTGGAGATGTATCCTGTTTCTCCCTAGCTGTGATCAAGATGAAAAATGGGGAACTTAAATCTTTCCAAGGAGCAGGAGGGAAAAGTCTGCATTGTCACCAGCAGAAACTTTTCACCCTCATGGTCAGGGTTCCAGGGATTGCAATTGGATAGAGGAGGATTCTCCCTATGTGCTTTGGTCTCAGTAACAAACAACACCCCCCCGTACACTTGTAATTAATTGAAGAAAACATCGGAAATGTAGCTTCAGGCTAAGCACTAAGTGCAACATGTAGCCTGGCCTTCATCTATGCTAGGGGTGGTCGGACTTGCTCATTGGAAGAGCCACGTACAGTAAATGTCAGATGTCTGAGAGCGAGCAGCATGTGGGCACCTGCAGGTGTCCACAGCAGCAAGCGTTGAGTTGCAAAATAAACGCAAAGAGCGACATGCAGCTCTTGAGCCTCAGTTTGGCCACCCCTAAAATATACAATCTGTGTTACTTCATTAAATCATTAGCTACACATATTGCATATAAGGCAGGACCCAAGGGTTGCAAATCCAACATCATCAAGCAGAAAAATAAATCATCAGGCAAATCAAAAAGCAAGAGAGCAATAAGGAAGCAACGTACCTCCACTTTCCCAGAGCCATCATCGATCATGTTGTGCTGGGCTGCCATCTGTGGAGACTCGTGTAATTTGGTAGCATCAAATTCAATCTGTTTAATTCTTGCCACTCGCTCTGTGACATACACTTTTCCAAAGCCCTCACTTTGATCTTTGTCCTTCCAGTCTCTAAAAAACTGCGTGAAGGTTGGTGTTTCCCCTCCTTCTGGAAGAACTTGGATCTGAAATGAAACAATAGGCAAAGGCTGAAGCTCCTCTATCTCTGTCTCTGCCTTAGAGCACCATGGTGCTCATCTATGAGAATGCAGACACAGCTGTGCATTCATCCAATACACCAGACCTGGGCAGAAACAGGACCAAGGCCTTGCTCCAAGCCTTTCCTTTATCACAAATAATCAGGGCAGTAATTCTCTAGAAGCAGAGGGCTTTTCACCTGTGAGTGTGTAAAAGAGAGCCAGTGTGTCATGGTGTGGGAGTACTGGACTGGGAAATTCACTGCGTGGCTTTGGGCCAATCACTCACTCCCAGCCTGGGCTGTTGAGGTGAGGATACAATGGAACCATGTAAGCCATCTTGGGATTCTCACAAGAGGGGAGAAAAAGACTGAATAAAAATGCATCATCATCATCATCTGCAAAGGCAAAGGGATGCAGCTTGGGGTGCACATGGCTGCATCAATCTGCTAGAACATACAGCAGGGGTGGGGAACTTCTGGGACAGGAGACTAATCCTCCCCCGGAAGCCATAGAGAACCTACCCCTACCTGCAGCCACCAAAATTGGTGCCACTGCCCCATTTGTTGCTGCAGTCAGTGGCAGCTGTCAGAACCGCTACAGCAGTTTCGTGCTGTTCTGCTCAATGTTGCAAGAAAGCAATGCAGACAGGGAGCAGGCGTGCCGTTGACAGGCAGAATTTTACCGCAGCAGGGAGTACCCTCCCCATGAAGCTTGTTTTCCAACAAAATAGCTCCCTTTTTGCAGCTGCCATGGTGGCCAATTCAGCAGCAGGGCATGCGGGTCCAGCGGGGCTCTATCAGGCCCACAAGGCACACGTTGCCCATCCCGATAAGCACCAGTGCTGTTTATGGTGCTCCCTTGTGTGATTCAAAGATGGCTGTCATTTTTCCTCTTGTAGCGTCCAATAACCCTGTCTTTATTCAAGTCCAAAGTGAAACCTTTACCGGGGAGGAGCAGTGGCTGAAAAATCCAGCCTGAATTGCTCCTGGCCAGGTTCTCTTCATACAAGGCATTGTTGTGTTGTCATGACCCCTCACTCAAGGAAGTTTGTGTGGGCTTGATGTGTTAAATTGCAATATTCAGAACGAAAGTGGCAAATACAGCTATGCCACAGCTCCTCCTTGTGGTAGGTTAGCAGAATATATGGAAAAGCAGAGTAATACAAACCCCTGGGGGGAAAACATGTAAAAGATGAATTTTCTGCAATAAAAAGTGGAAAAAGAAGCTTCAAATAAAGCAGATTAAACTCCCTCCATGTCCAACCATATGGGCAGGATGGGTCAGCAGATGAAATGGCTCCCTTGCTCCGACTTGGAAGGGCTTCCCTCCTCTTTTGTAGCATCTGCTTTCTTCAAACAGCAGATTCCCCCATATGTCTCCATTTCCTATATAGATTAATTTCTTGCATTTGGCTGTTTTGACGTGCATTACAGAAGGGTGCATCCAGATTATCCCCACCTCTCTGTACATGTTATAGCTCGTCTCCATAGCCCGCACACTACTCCAGCAATCCCAGTAGCAACTGGAGACAAAGGTGGTCCTATATCCACCATACTTGGCAGCCGTACCTTTAGGAGTCTGGCTGCTGCTCTCACAGGCATACCTGAGTGTTGGCTGGATAATTCATTTGCTGAATGAACTCCTCGGCTGTTTTCATGGCTGCTTTCCTCTCGTGTGGATTGGCATTCTTACCTTGTTAAGATAAAGTAGGGGCAAAGGTAACCTTAGCGAAAGGGGAAAAATTCCTAGAAATTGTACACAAATGTAATTTCTGTGGACTCTGTACAATGTCTTCGGACTCAGGTCAGCAGCATCTCCAGTTAAAGGCTTCTTACAACAGTGTATGAGTTTTGTTAAAGGGTGGATCTTGGCATTCCACTGATTTTGGCAACAGGCAATGCTCATTTTTGACAAGTGAAAACATAATTCACACTTGAAATAAAACATTGCAGTGTTTTCTTATGGACTGCTCATTTCCCCATTTTGCAAAACATGTGGGGAGGAGACCCACCACAAGAGAGATGCCATTCAAAGTGGCTTTACAGAACCCTCTACATGCAGAGGATCGCATGCATCCAAGAAAGTCAGGAAGAGAGCAGAGTCCAGGAGTGCTCTCTGCTCCCCTGACCTGCCAAAACATTTCAGCTGTCTAAATATTGTTCCCTCCCCATGTGGAGGAGGGTTCAAGTGGCCACTAGAATTTCGTGCCTTGTCTCCCCACTCCGGCCTCCTGGAATGCGCCCCCCCAGCTCTGAAGGAGGCATTTCATTCATCTTTGGAATCCAGCCAGCATGGAAAGAGCTACCAGGATGGGGATGGGGGTCCAAGATTAGAGTCCTAACTAACATCAGAAGACCTTCCCAACATCAGAGCTGCAACTTCAACTTATCCTATAATGTGGCCTCAGACTGTTCCTTCTGACTGTTTCAGACGTTGCCAGGAGAGCACAGGTTGGATGAGGTGAACACAACACGGCAATCCCACAGAAAACAGAGAAGCCAAAATCACTTCCCCAAGGCTTACTAGCCAAAGTAACCTTGAGAAGGATTCCTTTCAACTTTTATTGTAGAAGGAACCCAAGTGGTTGCATGTGATTGCAATACTTTAGAAGAACTAATATATTATCTGGCAAGCATGTTGTCATGAGCAGGTCGCTTCCCTCTTTCCTCCCCTTTCGGCAGATCCAAAATGAAACCTTAGAAGTACAGTTATAGAGTAGCAATTGCTTTGAGATGTGGAAGAAGCATCTGCCCATGTAAAGGGTTGAATTCTTTCTTCTCTTCAGGCAAAGCTTCTGGCTCCACATAATGGTGACTACTGCTGCTTTAGGGCTAGATGGCAGGAAGGCCAGACACTTTGGAATTAGTCTGCTTGCATCACCTGTCATCCCCTGACTGGGTGGAGGAGTTCTGTTTCTATTACCTCTCCCTGCAGCTTTAAAATGTCTTCTCCCTTTCCTAGACAGGCTGGCCAGTAGGAAGCCTTCAAACTCCCAGGTTCTTGCCCCTATTTGCCCTTCTGCCTCCTTGGAATTGGATGAATCTATCTAAGCAGACCATAAAGTGCAAGAGACAGGCCTCTCTGCTCGCACATGCAAGCCCCCTGGGATAGCAAACTCTCTGGAGAACATGTAGACCAAGGCTGGGCCTTTCCTGATGTCTCTCCAGATGTCTACAGCTCTCCCCATCCATGTCAGAACAGCCAATACTGAAGAGATCAGGAAAGTTTTAGACCAAAACATTTGGAGGGGCACAATATAAACCTGAAATTCAAGCGTTGCCGTACAATTTCCCCCATACCAGATTATCTTCTTCATTACTGTGGCTAAAGCTAAGCAGGGATGGACCTGATAAGGAACTTGGATTGAAGACTACAGGAGACACATGGAACTGTGATTTTTATACAGCATCATTGCTATAGCTATTCAACATTTGTTCATGAGACTTCCACTGAATCCTATCCCAATGGGACTAAAGTGGCCTTCTGAAGCTTTACATGGACTTAGGAGCCTGATTTTAGGTATCTATCCAGCCATATGCACACTGAGTGGCCTTGTGCAAGTCATTCTCCATCAACATTTAAGCGGCATTTTAACTGTTAATATTATTGGATTATATCTGGCCAGGGTGGCTTATTTTATATTGTATTTTTGTATTTTTAATCTAATGTTTATATTTTTTTAATTTAAGATTATAATTATTTTAATTTATTGTTGTAAGCTGCCCTGAGGCTTCGGCGAATGGAGCGGCATAAAAATGTTTAAATAAATAAATAAATAAATAAATAAATAAATAAATAAATAAATCTGCTCCTACCTTCAAATAAGGTGTAAATGGCAAATGGGATGATTATGATAATGACTGAGTTAAGAATTGCTACGTTCCAGGTATCTGTTCCAGGCATGGGAGCTCCAATCATCTCCTGCAGCCCAGAAGAACTTCACCACCTTAGCACAGAATATCACTGGGAACAATCTTTCAAGTGCTCAGGTTTTGCAACTCACTACTGCAATAAGCAGGGATCTTGTACTTGTGCAAGTTTATGGAACGGTGCATCTGCACGTAGTGGCTGGGTTCAGACAACACCGGAACTTACCTAAGTTGAGTGTGGATTGTTGCTGAATTACAGGTTCTTGTTGAAGTGTGAGTTATGGCGTTGCCTGAGCCCTATGGTGCCAACAAACCGTGGCTTGTTATCCACAAAAATCCACAGTTCGCAGCTCAAAACCATGGGCTTTCTTCCTGGTGTGTTCATAGTTAACAACCTGTACGCACCTCTGAAGTATAGATTATTGCACCGTCTGAATCCAGTCTGTGTGTCCTGTGGAATTATTTGTTAGTGGTAATATTAAAAAACAGAAGAGATTTGTCACTTACCTTTCCAGACAAATATTTGCCTAGCTACGCCATGATCCAGTATAAAACACTCTTCAGACAGAAGCATTGCTCTTGAGAAGGGGTTTTCTTCAGCAGCAACTGAAACCTTCATGGACCCACTTGCATCCGATACCTGACAATGTGAATATTCACTTTAGATCAGTTCAAAATCCAGATCCACCATTACTTTCAAATCTCTTATCTCTAAAATAAGAGGTGTGCTTACACATGTTATTATTCGGCAACCACAAAACTACAAATGTCAGACCAAGCAGCTTATGCTGACCTTTGAACATTCTGAATTCCTCTCTTTTGTACACATACATTTTATTTTTAGATTGTACTGAGGCCAAATAAGAGAGGGCGGAAATCCAGAATCTTGGAGGCACTTTTTCACTGGATTTATTTATTTGATTTATATCCCACTTTTTTCTTTTTTAGGAAGTCAAAACTGACTTGCATCCTCCTGCTGCTACTGCTCTTAATCTTATCCGCACAACAACCCAGCGAGGTAGGCTGGGCTGAGAGTCTGTGACTGGCCCAAAGCCACCAGTTGGCTCCATGGTTGAGTGGTGTCTAGAACCCAGATCCTCTGAGTCCCAGCCCTGCACTCTTAACAACTATACCACAATGGCTCTCCATTTTCTTCTAGGTCACCATACTAAAGTTATGCTAAAACCACTACCATAACTACTACTGTCTCACCATTCAAGGTGGACATTTTGTAATGTTTTCAGTGTTGTGGGGAAGTCAGCTTACTTAATGAGGTCGCGAAGGACCTCCCCCTTGTTTTTAAACTTTGAAAAGGGAATATTTTCGCGAGCATTCTGGCTCGTGCACAAAAGGGAATGTGGAAGGGTCAGGAGGTCCTGGCATGTCTCATGCCTGCAGTAATTGGTGCTTTTCTGATGGATAATGAGAGTGGCAGGGCAAGGGAACAGCAGGGAGATGGAACAAAGGAACTCTGAGAAATCGAACCGACCGGCAGGGTGGGAGTGAGGAATACCCTCTTACTTTCCCTTTGAGTACTTTTTCTTAATTGTCCCTGGGTATGCTTCTCCTTCTATGCAGCAGAGGAAGGAAAGGCTTTAATTACTGGTGTCCCTTTTTCTTTTCATAACAATGCAATTTTACAATATAATTGAAAAATGATGCCAACCCCCTGAAACCAAAGTTTCTTCTTTCTCTGCAGGAAGAGAAACTGATGTGGGGGCAATAAGGAAGCATTCAAGGAGAAATTTAAAAGTTATTTATTACTAATTCCTCAAGTATGGTCAGCATGAAGCAATAAAGCAGATAAGGCCTGCAAACAGAAAACTTTCCCTGAGCAATGCAGAGATCTTTTATAAATTGAATTTCCTTGTGAGTGAATTTCCTTGTGAGTAAGCAATATAAAAAGATTTTGGCCACAGTGAAGGATCTGTAAAGCATAATATTAAGTGCTGTGTGAAAGTGCTATTTTATTATTATTAATCATTTTATTTCTGTACAGGTCTATAGCCAAAGTTCTCTTGCCGCTAATTAGGAGAGAGGGATGCCTCCCCTGGGCCAAATGGCTTTCTCACCTGCTAATCCATCTGTTGCCAATGTTCCTTTATGAGAACATCCCCCAACGTGGAGCCCTCCAGAATGATTGGATGGCAACTCCCATAATCCCCAGGGTTCCAGGTTGCAGAAGACAGCTTTATGTACTCTTCCCTATCCAAGAATTTGAAGCTTGATGTCATTCGAGATTATTTCCCAAAGAAAAACTTAATGTGTCATTACGTTTCATGATTTTGCTGGTTTCTTTGCTTACACTGTAACTATACATCAACATGTACAGGAGACAATGTGGTGTAGTGGTTAGAGTGCTGGACTGGGACTCAAGTAACCTGGATTCTGGCCCCACTCAACTATCGCACTCACTGGGTGATTTGGGCCAGTCACAGGCTCAACCTAACCTATGCCACAGGGCTATTGTGAGGATAACATGAAGAAAAGCCACCTTGGCTTCCATGCAGGAGGAAGCCAAGGCAAGATAAGAATGCAATATTGCAATCATCATCATCATCAGCATCTCAACAGAGCATGCAATATGTTATACTTAAAAATAATAAATAAGAGATGAGAAGATTAAAATCAGGTAACTGCAGTTCCCTGGACTGGTTGTCCCTTCAGAAGCACATGAGTGACTCCATCACCACCACTGAACCCGGTAAATACTTATGTCCCATGCCCATTTGTACAGCTCAAGTCGCAAACCAATAGAACTGAAAGTATTTGGTCACAGTCTTCCAGGAAAGCTGACTTTACAGATTGGTCTGTGATAAAGTAATCATGAGTCTGCATTAATGCATCTAAAGCGTGCCCTTATGACTGGGACACAGGCCTAGCTTATAGGCTGTGTCCTGTATCCCAAGGGATTCCCATATCTACTCTTCTATTACAGACAAGGAGGAGGATGTTTTGTTTCCTGAAGCAAAGAACAAGATGGCAGCCCCTCACATTCCAAAAGAAAAGTGAACTGGGCAAGAAGCTGATTCTTTTCCCAGTTCTGGCAATGGGGCAGCAATCTCCAGTGTACCCCAAGGCAGCAAGGTAGGTTAGGGGGCCCATAGCAAGCCTCTTGATACACAGTTCTTTTCTCCCATACCTTGAGGTGGCATCCCCATGTCTACACACTGAGACAACTACATCTCTGTGGCAGGCCCTGATAACAGATGATTTAGCTTTGTGCCAGCCCTTGCATGTCCCTTGTTAGCAAGATCACATTTTCTCCTTCATCCTTAATCATCTATCACACTGGAGGAGGAAGAGTTCCAACACCAGTGGATTGTCAACTCCCCCCACCATATAATGGCAGAACTCTAGCACTTTTACCAGATCATAGCAGGCAACTATTCAACAGGTGAAGTTTCTCCTGGAATGGAGATGCAATTTAGAATCTCAGAATTTTAGAGATCAGATCTGCCTCTGATGCAGTAGGTCCTTTTTCTAGGCTTCTCTTTGGGATACCTGGTCAGCAAAAGTGCAAACAGCATGTTGGACTAGGCAAGCCTTTGGTCTGTCCATTTTTAAAGCAAGTTTTAGGGGCTATCAACTATATTTGAGGATCAGACCAATTCATGTAGGCTAAAGCTGTCAATGGAAGAGTTGTAGTTCAGATGACTATATTCTACCCCCAGTAACAGCATCCCCCTTCAACAATATTGATGTACCCCAGTTGCTGGAGAAGACAACTAGGAGGATGCTACTGTGCCCATGTCCTGCTTCTGGGCTTCCCATCTGGTTGGCTACCAGGTGAAACAAAAGCTGGACCAGATTGGCCTTTCATTGGATTCCGCATGGCTTCAGCTATTGGACAGGAGAATCATAGAACAGCAGAGTTGGAAAGGGCCATGAGATCCAACCCCCTGCTGTTACAGGACACCAATTTACACCACCCCACTCAAATGGCTGTCCAGTTTTGCCTTGAATATCTCTAATGTGGGAGAGCCCACCACCTCTCTAGGCAGTTGTTTCCTCTGTTGTATTCCTCAGACAGTGAGGAAACCTTTCCTGATATCTAGCCTGAATCTGGGTTGTCACAACTTGAATTGATTATTCTGTGTTCTGCACTCCAGCATCAGCAAGAAGAGATCTTGAGCTTCTGAAAACTGTAATAGATAAATAAAAGCATGTCCCTTGGAGGTTAACCCTGTTTAAAAGAGAGTACTACACTGCAAACTATTTCTGTTCCACTGCTTCCTTCACTTCTGCACAAGAAAACTGGAAGAACTGCTTCAGCAGGCTGGCACTTTCATCAAGAGCTGCCCATCCCTGAGCATGTTCTTCCTTTTCCTTCTGGAAGGAAGTACTCAGAATTGCCTCGTATCATCAACTGCTAAGAGCAAGAAGGGACTGCTGGAAGCACACCCTGTGACTTGCCTATCTTTGTGGCTTCTAATTGATTTACAAGGCTGAACTGACCTTAGCTGAAAAGTGGAGTGTGAATACAAACACATGCTTAAACAGGAAGCAAACCAAGCACATGCCTCCATTATGGAAAACAGCCCTGCAGAAAATGGGAGGTTCTGCTCTTACCATGTACAGTTTTGCAATTCTCCTGTTGGTGATATCAGCAGCCTCATCGTCACTATCATCACCCTCCCGAAGTTGTGGCTTGCATCCTAGAACCTACAGTGGAAAGTGAGATGAGAAGACAGATATAGCATCATAATAAACAAACTCCCTGGCATTTCATTTTTAATGTATGGTGAGATTAGCAGCATGGTAAGAAGGATAATTGGAAAATTCAAAGCAACTACAAACCAATTTAGGGCCAAAGTGTATATGACATGGAACAATCTGTGATCTGATTACACAACATCTTCCTTCTGACCTTCCCTCCTTCTGCACAAAATGCATATCTAGGGTTCTCTGGCAGATTCTCCTCTAAGCACTGAGTGCACCCAGACCTACTTAGTTTCAGCAAAGTTGATAAAACATGTGCCTTCAGACTGTACTCTAGGGCAGAGCCAGCTGTGGGGTGCATTTTTTTTAGTTTAGAACAACCCTAAGACTCAACACACCAAGGAAAATTAACCTGGCTAATCATGTTTAAAAACACTTTGTACAGAATTGGCCAAGCAGCAAATTCAGATGTTCTCTCAAAGCAAATTCAGATGTTTTCCCAGATCACCAATTTGGAAGAAACCAACTGACATCATCTCATGGCTTGGAACAAGAAACTGGAAAATAATTTCCTTATTAAATACTTTAAGCTGTTCAAACAGCAAATGATCTCAAGGCCCGATTTTCCTAAGCATATTGATTAGCCTCAGGATCAGACAAAGTCTTAATCATTGCTGGGATGATTATTAGTTACTCAGTTCATACTAAAATTCACAAAGATCAAGTACCTTAAGAATTCCTACTGGTGACAGAAGCTGCTTTGTATAACACTTGTGTTTGAACATGCTGCTTGCCAGTCCACACCGACTACCAACTACCTTAGTCCAGTCCGCTCTAGGTGACAACAGAATCCCACCAGCTCTTATGAATGGTCAGGAAGGTGACTTTGCCCTTTTCCTTGCAGAGCTTAGCTTCCACCTTGGCCTTCCCACCAACCTACGTGATTGGCTTAGTGGCCAGTCTACCAGCTCATTCTTCTAAACCTCTTTGCTATGTTTTATGAATATACTTATGCGAGCTGGCCCATTCACAAACCAAGTTAGTGTGCCTCTGATCACTGTGTCTACTCAAATGGCAAGTACACTTACAGTATATCACAGAAGTGAGTACACCCCTCACATTTTGTAAATATTCTATTATATCTTTTCATGTGACAACCCTGAAGAAATGACACTTTGCTACAATGTAAAGTAGTGAGTATACAGCTTGTATAACAGTGTAAATTTGCCGTCCCCTCAAAATAACTCAACACACAGTCATTAATGTCTAAACCGCTGGCAACAAAAGTGAGTACACCTCTAAGGGAAACTGTCCACATTGGGCATTATTAGCCATTTTCCCTCCCCAGTGTCATGTGACTCGTTAGTGTTACAAGGTCTCAGGTGTGAAGGGGGAGCAGGTGTGTTAAATTTGGTGTTATCGCTCTCACTCTCTCATACTGGTCACTGGAAGTTCAACATGGCACCTCATGGCAAAGAACTCTCTGAGGATCTGAAAAAAAGAATTGTTGCTCTACATAAAGATGGCCTAGGCTATAAGAAGATTGCCAAGACCCTGAAACTGAGCTGCAGCACGGTGGCCAAGACCATACAGCTGTTTAACAGGACAGGTTTCACTCAGAACAGGCCTCGCCATGGTCGACCAAAGAAGTTGAGTGCATGTGCTCAACGTCATATCCAGAGGTTGGCTTTGGGAAATAGACATATGTGCGCTGCCAGCATTGCTGCAGAGGTTGAAGGGGTGGTAGGTCAGCCTGTCAGTGCTCAGACCATACGCCACACACTGCATCAAATTGGTCTGCAGGGCTGTCATCCCAAAAGGAAGCCTCTTCTAAAGATGATGCCCAAGAAAGCCTGCAAACAGTTTGCTGAAGACAAACAGACTAAGGACATGGATTAGTGGAACCATGTCCTGTGGTCTGATGAGACCAAGATAAACTTATTTGGTTCAGATGGTTAATAAATACTAACCCTACTCTATATTGTCTAGGAAATGGTTCTCCCAGGAATCGAAGCCAGCAAATTTGGTCAGCAAAATAGCTCTGGTCAGTTCACAGTCCAGAGGAAGGCACAAGCCCATCTCCAGGACCTTGTTTTTTAACCATTTCTGACAACAAGGTGATATCCAGGAGTCAATTCAAGAATGGTGAAAACTTGGTTTTTGCCAATCCTTCAAGAAGGTAATCCACCAAGTCATCAGGAAAGGATCAAAAAGTTGTAACCAATTTAATTGACAATATTCCACACAAAGTCTGACCCCTCTCCCATCCTTCTTGCCTGCTAGGACCACAGGCAAAGACCTTGGACTCAAGGAGAGCTGAATCATTCCATTTGCAGCATAGATTGTATTTCTTTTCTTTTCTTTTCTTTTCTTTTCTTTTCTTTTCTTTTCTTTTCTTTTTTGGAGTACATTTTATTATTATTTTCTACAAACTAAAAAAAAGAAACTAAAAAACATCAATCATCAGAAACATCAGACCTGCTGGGTCAGCCCCCCATTTTTTAATAGCAATCCGTAAGTATATTCAAATCTATGCATAGTCCCATTTCTCTAGCCAATCATAGATTGTATTTCCATGGCAATGTCCTTGGCAGGCTGCCCCATCACTCAGTATGGTATGGACTGAATCAGGGGATGATCTCTGTTCAGGATTGAGTGCTGGACAAAGGAGGATGGTCCAAGTTTGTTGGTAAACCTAATCCGAAGCTCCTGAAACACCTTCTACAACTGAACCCACAGCCTGACACTCAGAAAAGGAGGAAACTCCATTTCCTCAATTCTAACTGCCTGCTGACCCTTCCGTAACACTTCTAGCACCTGACCTATCTCTTCTTTGTCTAGCGTATGCTGAAACACCATCCCCTTTCAATCTACAAAAGGTTTCAGCATATTGACATAAAAAATTAAGAACTTGTGGGATGGCCCCAGAGACCACAGCAAATGAATAACTCCCCCCACATGCTGTTTAACCAATCAGGGTTCCTCCATCTGATTTGCCTTATTTAATAGGCCATACTTGCTCTCCCGGTTTTCTTGGGCCTGGGCTAAATGTGTCTTAGCAACTTCTCAAAAGTCCTGCAGTGTCTTTAGCAAATTCTGCATAAAGGCTGCCACCAACTATAGAATGGAATCCACTCTTCCCTCTCACTCTGCCTTCAGTGTAGCCAGTAGGATTTGTAGCCTAAAAAGAGCATTTTTTTTGAATCTCCCAAACTCGGGTGCCCTTCAGTAGCCTCAATCCCTCCCTAGTAGCCTCAGTCCCTAGAGAAGTGCCAACTACCTCTGCAATTTCATCCAATTCTGCTCAGAAATGGAAAAAAAAATATTGCCAGTTCCTTCTTTTATTTAAACAAATCAACATTTAAAGGCATCTAGCACAAACTCCTCTGCACATACTGTTTGAAATGTGGTAGGTATAATCTCCTTGGAAGATCCTACCATGCTTGCAAATCTCAATCAAGTCTATCAAATAGGAAAAAGTACAGTCTTTTGTTGATCTCCAGTGATGGTGATTTGCATTTCCAGAATGAGATCTTGATCTGGGTCTGTATCAAAGCTCTCAGCATCTGAAATGGGTCAAGACAAATCGGGCTATTTCCCAGATCACTGTATACTACTGAGATCAGTGCACACCCCTAATGTGAAGATAATAACACAGAGCTATTATTCTTTAACTGTTGTTCTGATCATTTAGATAATGCAAATCCGTATTATTAAAAGGAGAGCTAAACTGGGTCCAAATTATAACGACTTGCCGGGGGTCCACAAAATCAGCTCTGTGTGTATCTTAAGAGCAAATACTTGTCTTAACTACACAGTGGTTCAGCACTGAGATCTTTAGGGCACATTCCTATAGCTGGCTGGAATACTAGGAGTTGTAGGCCTTTTTTGGGTTGGGTTGGGGGGGTCAAAACTTGTACCAGTTTGCACCATTAGATAGCTTAACTCCCATCCCTTGGCAGATGCAGTTCAAATCTGGCATTTCTCACTCAACTTCTATTTTAAAACCTGCCCTCCATTTCAAACAAGAAAGGAGCATATTTGCATGGAGCACTCATTAAACATCCAGACAGATAAATTTAGCCTATTTGAAATTATTGCAGCTAATCCTCAAGATTAGATCAAAATGACACTCAAAACAGGGCTGGCTGCTGTGTATCTTTTGGCCAAACGTAGGACATCTGTCACTGAATTCACTTTGCATTCACCGAAGCTTAATCTAGCTTAATTTGGCTTAATATCTAACTAGTAAAATGTTTAAATAAGATAAGTACAATGTAATATGCCCAGTTCAGAGAAGATATTTATAAAGAATGGGCTCTGATGTTGACAATGTAAATATTTGATAAGGGAGAAACTGCCAAGGCATACAGTGCAAACAGAGAACACCTTAACCGCCTGCAACCAGCATGGCTTTCTGTCCCAGTATATAAATATATTATACAGCTATACAAAGTGATTTCTGCAAATGCAGTTCCATTTCTCAGCTGGTACTTCACTCATATGCATGGCCCATGTCACTCACTTCCTGCTGGTTAGAGATGTCAAAAAATGTGCAGTCTTCTTTATTTAAAAATTTCCAGACTGTCCTTTACCGTGGTCTCAGAATGGTTTAATAATAAAACAATATAAAATTTAAAACACAGCATCCTAATACAATTTCCAGTGAGCAATAAAACCATCAAATCTTAAAACATTGGGAAAATTAAAAGGTTTTAGCCTGGTGCCGAAAAGAATAACGTGATGGTGCCAGGCGAGCCTCTCTGGGGAACGAATTCCACAATCTTATGGCAAGCAAGAAAAGGCCAAGTGAAAAGCTGAATGCACCCTTGAGGTATAAACATCTAGCACACTATTCACATCAGCCCAAGTCAGAGTGCTTGTGCCGTAAGCGATTTGGGGCCGGGTTTGGGTCCTAAAGGACCACCTTCATCACGATGTTAAGATCTTTTTCAAAGGCTCTGTTCATATGCTCACCGGTAAGATAAATTAGGCTGAGCATC